TGTTTGTGTGAAAACAATAAACGGCACACAAAAAATGAAACAGAGGTGAACAAGTACAGAGATGTGCTATAAGAAGCCAACAAAATGCGTCATAAATGGTTGTGCAGTCACAGACCAGCAGAACAGAACAAAAGAAATTGCACTCAGGATAAATAAGGAGAAAAAAACGGATCCGGTTAAAATCACACAAGAGATGACAATGTGTATTATGCATAAGACAGAGTATAACCAGCTGGTATTTGTTTAAATGTAAACTTTTTTAGAAAATAAAATCTAGCATTGTTTTTTCATTTCATAACGACAGCCGCTGTGTGCTAGGAAAGACCAAAAAAATTTGTATCAGTAGCTTTGTTTAAGTTAACAATATTACAAAATAACTATAATTATAATATGTTTAAAAATATAAAATGAAAACTACCCTTTAAACTCTTTGCATTCCTCTCACTGCAATGTTAAGTTTCAGAGATGTGAGAAACATCTGCTAGTTGATAAATGTAACGGACTGAGAGTATACAAGAAGTCATGTTCCTCAGACTAGCTGCCATTGCAGAAAAGAGAAAAATCCAACAACATGCAATGACAACAACAAAATACTAAAAGATGATATACCAACAGCGTCTAACATATGCAAACTCAAAATAATAGTTTGTCCATCAATGTCTGACAATGACCAACACCTCTACAGAGGAGAATATTTTCCAAGCAAAACAGTAGAAATAAGGGTTAAGCAGATTACCTGTGGCTTCTACTATGGCCAATATGACCCATGACAGAGAAAAGTTTGCCACATTTGGAGCATTTAAAAGCTTCATTACCTCCTGAGGACAAGGGCAGAATTTATGGTGTGTAGCAACTTGACAAAATGAGTCCCATGTCACATTCTGAGAATAGAACACTGTAGTTATCAAATTAAAGATCCATTCAAGGCCTACTACAAGTGGGTGAAAACTGCATCAGTCCAGCTGCTTTTGGTTCCACAGTTATATAGTCATCTGAAGTCCGGTGGTACATGTAATCAGAAACACAGTTGTGAGGAAATCTAGGGAATACCACACATATATATATATCTCCGGACAGCTGAGTGTGACTAGCGAATCATTTAATTGCGCTGTTACACATGTAGATCCAGGGAGTTCCATACACACACACATACAAACAAACAAACAAAAAAGTAAGCCATTCTTAAATCGAGTTCTTTGAGGAAATTTTAAAAAATGTAAAAAAAAAACAAGGAGAAAACTGAGGGTATAGACAGTGGAACTTTGGACCACAAGAAAAGATCGTGCCCAGCACTGACACAAACTCGATCAAACAGCAATAAACAAAATTACAGATTCTGATGTGAATAAGAACAAATTGGCAGATCTTCATTTTTAAAAATATTAATAAGAGTTTTATGGCTACGCAGATCTAAGAAGCAGATGACTCAGTGATTATGAATAATAAAAATGGAAAATATTCTCTCGACTCCATATTTCACTTCTTCTTCAACAATAAAATTCTAATCTCAGAGCACAGAGATAAAAACCTGTACCATACCATAGCGAAAAAGTCAGGATCAGATAAGGTTTACATTAAGTACAATCAAATTGAAAGACCATAAATAATATGTAGAATGAAAATACAGTCACAATATTCAAGTAAAACTTTCACTTTTTCCCTGTCAATTTTTACGAATGATGATATACATTTACGAGTGAGGTCCACGTAAGCGCTGGGAAAACTATGCATCTGAGACAACGAGCCAGCCTGACCATCTACCACCTACATTCTAACAATGCTGTGTGGCAAACTGGACTGAGTCTTAAGGTCACTTAGAAATGATGACTGGCGTCTGTGGTGAAACAATTAGGCGTTTCGCATTCACATGCAGGATTCCCCAGTGGGAAGAATTTTTATCGAGTACTGGTATCTCGGTCTTTCTGATGAAATGATGTATCACTCACTCTCTGCCCAGATTTGCCCGGAGTGACAGGCAGGGTCAAAAGCCACCTGTACCTTCTAAATTGTGTCAATGAGGTTTTAAAAAAACCCATACATTTACATTAAAATTTTTGAAGTGACAAAATCAATTCCTCAAGACCCTACAGCTGTTCGCATGGAAGAAGAGCTAAAAATTCCCCAGCCAAAATTTAAATAATAAAGCCAAATTTCTGAAAACACTTTCAGTTCCATTCAAAATTTTCTCACCAAAACTTTTTTTTAAAGTTCAAGAAGCACATCAAGACCTCTTTTGCATCCCCAAAAGCATTATTTTCCTTCAAGATGACATCTAGAAAGAAAATACTTTTTTTTCCAGGCTACAAAATCAGCTAGCCAAGACTTTGACAAGACATGTGGCCTCTTTGTGTTATATGACTCAAATTTTTCTAATACATACTCCATACATACTCAAATACAATCAAGTAATGCAAGCAAAAAGGCATATCAAGAAGCACTCCTTTGTTCCTAAGGAGAGATGTGACCAAAAATTGTACAATCAATAAATCAATGTCTTCAAAAAATTAGATCTCATTTTTACTTTTAAAAAATCATCCATATTCAGAGGTATTTCCTAATATTATCATGAGGAAGAAATAGAAATTGAATAAGCAATAGCTTCAGAGAGGTGACATAGCAAAGAGAGGGACGGTATTCAGTAATTTTTTTAAGCACACAGAAACACATGCCACACATTGCAATACTGTAAAATACCACATCAAAAATGTTCACACACACACACACACACCATGCATCGAAAACAGAGAGAAAAATACACCTTCTCAAGGGTCACTGCCAACTTTCTCACAGAACATGAACATTGGAATTGGACCACCACAACCGACAGTTCTAAATAAAATGCTACAAGGAGACAAGACATTCAAGCATCAGTTTATCAGTGTGAGCGTTGGAGAAGAAAAACATTAATATCTCAGGCTAATAGCACTGTAAATGAGTGAACACTATAATGTTTGAGCCATTACGATTTTCCTGCCAATATGTGTCACAGCACAGTAGAATCAGGCACTCGTCAATTTTGGGGCATATGGAGATATTGGTAAAATCTTAAAGTCTGTTTATTTACATTGTTTTGGATGAAAAAAAATACCAGTCTATCTTGAATAGTTTTCGAGACGTTTGAAATTAAAGGAGGTTGGGGACAGCCTGGTGTCAAAAGTAAAGCTAGCGAGAAAATGGCTGCCAAAGTCTAACAACTTCCAAAGCTCGAGTGTCCTTGGAAACAGCAGAATTACTATTTCTTTTGTAACTTTGCTCTACGTTTTTCCATTAAAATTCACACAGAAATGAAATATGTTTTTAAATGTACATAAAAGGTGCTGAGCCCCAGATAAAAAATCTAATAAAATTGCCCGAAGGGAGGGAAAATGTTGATTTCTTTTAACTTTATGATTTGTACGAGCGTCTGATTTCACCATGATGTCACATATATCTAAAAAATCACAGGAGCTGGTAATACAACCATTTAAATCCCATTGTTCCATTAAGTCCGCACTTTCATGTAACACTGCCATCTCAAACATCTTCTGTGCTGAACCTCCAAGATTCAGTCAGAGAATTACTTAGGTGAAGAAAGAAAATCAAATGTCCATTCTTAGTTAACACTTGTCTCACACTCCTAGCTAAAAAGTCAGTTACCATGAACATAAAAAAGATTTTGCTCTGCGAATTGTTTTCAGTGACTTGAATAAATAATTGAAAGAAATTACAATCAGCACTTTTATCAGAGACAAGGTCAAAATATTTTCTTTCATCACATAAGACTAGTGTCAATGAGAAAAGCTTGATCAGAAGGGAAAAAAAATAAATCCTGTCACGTAGACATGACATGGGATATAATACTCCCATGTCAACATCAAATAAAAAGGATTACCTAATCCAATATCAAAAAAGTGTTTCTTTATAATCAGTTAATGCCCCCCCCCCCCCCTCTTTTTTTGTGTTTCTTGTTGGGGTTTTTTTCATCACTGCTTATAAAGATGGAAGGAAAGGAAATTAGATGAGGAGGTACTCAAAGAATCCCATGTGGGCCACTCACTGATAGAAAAACTAAGAAAGTGACAAATGCAGAATCTAGGACACTTGAATCGGCCTAAAGGCTTTGAACATGTAGCTCTCACTGGAAAAATAGTAGACAACAACTAAAAATCAGGAACTAACACAAAATGAGTCATCAAAAAGAAATCATTTCCTCCCATCATACATTTAAATCATTCATTTAAAAATTTCTCCCAAAAACACATTACCGCATTTTCCCTCTTTTCTCGAGTTGACCAGTACAAAACATTCTTCTCATGAGGTTTCAGTAGCAATAACAGTGACGTTTCAAAAGAAAACTTTTCTTCTCTTTATTCCAAAGAAGAAATCTGGAAAAACTCCAAAGTCTAGCACTGCTTCCACAGACTTCTGCTGCATTCCAACAGCAACACCCCCCCCCCCCCCCATTTCATCCTTTCCTTAACTTTCATAGATGCCAAACATACAATATACATGCGCACACACACAAATACACACACAAATGCAAACACACACAAACACACATACAAAAACATACACACACATACACAAGTATGCTCATTTCTAAGACTCAATCATTTGCTGAGACACACACATACGTACAAACACACTCACACAAACATACACAAACACATATACGCTCATTTCCAACACTCAATAACCTGGCCAGCCTCACTCATCAAATGCTTTCACAATTCACAACTCCTTGAGATTGGTAAATGCTTCTGGTCCCTTCACACATCCAGCTGGTGTAACGCATGCCGCTCCTCGTTTTGACTGCTTGGTGTAAGACTTTGCCATTGATATGCCATTTTAACCCTGTCCGTATGCCGTGTTTTACTATCGTATCCATGCGACAGGGGGAACTCAGTGCCACCACTTTCAAAGAGGATATTTACTCCTTAATCCGACCCGTACAATATGTGCATAGCAGTCTGTCGAAATATTTTTTGAGAAATACTGAAAGTTTCAAAGAGATCTTAGTACTAGAAGTATTCTGAAATGTGAAGAATACAACCCCCGGGGTACAAAATGACCCCAGGGCGTACGGATTGGGTTAAAAAGTGACATAGGACAGAGCCTTACACTCAACAGCTCCGATTCGTTCATTAAAAGCAAGCCTTACTTGTTCATCAAAAGCAAGCCTTATCTGTTTATTACAGGCAAGCCTTATTTGTTTATCAAAAGCAAGCCTTATTTGTTCATTAACCCCTTCGTGACAGATTCCGCACAAGGTGCGCTAAACATCCTGACATCTTGAGCCGAGATGCCATCCTCTCGTACAATGTACGTCCTACAGTGCACCCTATAGGATTTACAACTGTTCTACAATAAGGTTTGAATGGAATTTTACCAGAAAACTCATGAAAGATTCGAAATTTGCGATAGCGTAAAAGAATGAATCACATTAACTTTCTTTAATTCTGAAAGGAATAGCAAAATGACTGAAACTGCTCATTGTCCTAGCCAGCAAATATTGGGCGCAGTAAAAGTTGGAAAACACCGTCTGTCACGTAGGGGTTAATGGAAAGCCTTATTCGTTCATTCAAGGCAAGTCTTAATCGGTCGCTAGAGGGATTTCCACCTCGTCCACAAACAACTGGTGTACAATTCCGTCCCGTCTTTTTCCCGTCGTGATGGCCTTGATGTATGCAGAGTGCGAGCCGATCTCAAAGTGAGTCTCCGTGCCGTCATCGGCAAATTCTCCCTGGTGAAGAGAAGAATAAGGAGAAAGTGTCAGTCAGCACCGATCCGCTTCACGGTTTACTTTTTTCTAGACTTTGCTTCAAACCTTAGTAAAAAAAAGTTCACTCAGACACCCCCCCCCCCCCCCCCCCAACCCCGACTTGACCTAGTATGCAGATCCAGGCTCCCCATTGTGGGTCACAAAGAGGTTGGTGCTTTAAGTCTTACAGGAACAGGAGACAGTTGGGTGTGATCGATGGTGTGAATAAACACAAGGGAGGGGAGGAAAAGGGTGGGGGGGGGGGGGGGGGGATATCCAAAAATTTGTAGAAGAGGGGGGGGGGGGAGGGTTAAGCTTTAGTCTTATCCCTCAAGTTGTATGTCCATGCATTAATAGCAATGTAAAGTTAAATAGTTGAGTATTGGAGGGCTTCACTGGTACGTTCTCTACATCTACAGTCCACAGTAAAAAAAAAACTTTTTAAACCACTCTCATGCAGTGGGGTATATAGGCAGAGCTGGTTGTAATGGAGTACAAGTACTCCGGTACGTTACAATTATCGGCACTTTTACTGTACTCCGGTACATTATTGAGAACCAGTACTTTTACTCTACCTCAATACTTTTTATAAAAGTACTTTTGAGTATTTTTAAAGTACATTTTGAGTACTTTTGAAGCTTAATGAAAGAGTAAGTGCCTGCATTTCTGATTATAATTTACGGAACAAACACTCGGGCGGGTACAGCCGACCAACCAAGAGTTAAAAGTTGAGATCAAAGAACTTAAAGATCAGCCACTCTCATAAATGTGATCACACAAGCGTTGTAAAACTCCATGAATCAGTACAATGTTTGCCCCAGACGGGATCACACCGAGGTGTGAACTGACCGATGCGTTTCTTTTCCCCAAATATCGCACTCGCATCTGAGCTCGCCACCTAAACTTACATCACTCGCTGGTAGGTTAAGGCCTACAAGTTCGCTCCAGGCAGGATCACATCGAACTTTGAACTCTTCCCTGACTATTGAAGGCAGTTTTTCTCTATTCTCGAATTTGCGAGACAGCCTGATTTTTAATTCGTGTGGTCACAACGTTATGGTGCGTAGTGACAAAGGCGGGGGGACTCAATCAGAGATGGAGGCTAAAATTTTTGGACAGGTAAAAGGGAGGAGCAACTGGATAAACGTAGATAAAGATCTCATGACTCGCGATAGGCTAATGAGCGTACATATGGCATGCCTCATGCCACCATGCCACTGTGATAGGTCATCAAGGTTGACCACTCTTTGCTCGTCATATGTCATAAACCCACTCAGGGGTCACGTCAGTTCATGGGTCACTGTAGATTCTTCCTTGGCTTCGTCGGCTAAGATCCCGTATTTCCCTTGCTCCCGAGCACTGGGATCTTAGACGGAGACTACTGTAGTAGAGGTAGAGAAACTTTGGATACACTACACTTACTAGACTCTAGGAAACTACATGTATTTCGGTTTGTCATGGGCGCCGTGGACTACACAGTGTGACCAAAATCTGTCTTACCACTATTATAATCAATTGAAACTGAAACTGAGTTCTCAATGTATATCTAACAATTTTTTAGGCTACCTAAATTTTTTTTAAACTTTTTTTTGTGGTTTGTGCCTAAGGCTAGCTTGATTCCTTGAGGATTTGTTAATGAAGAATTCAATGCACTTTTCCATTTCTTTGCTGGCCATTTTCATCAATTTTATGTTTTCTTAAGAGCAACTTTGTCCCTACATTTTCCAATTTGGATACTTTTCCTGTAGAACTTTCCAACCTCTTGGACTGACTTACATTTGGTCACATTGTCTTGCTCAAACAAGTTCTATTCATAATATCACTTACTCACTAGTTGCGTCTGTTTGTTTGGGGGTTTTTTCAATCTCACGGACAATTTCCACCTACGTTCAGTGCTTACATTCAAAAGCTTTGTATACTGTTTACATTTTTAGTAATTAACGGCCTGATTTGTCAAATATACTGGATATGTTATTCAATATGAAGTTTTGCATTAGCACTGAATGTGTTTTAGCATATTAGCAGAAAGTACTCAAAATGTACTTTTTTTTTAAGTACTTGTACTCAAGTACATTTTATGGGAAAGTACTTTTACTGTACTTAAGTACCTATTTTAGATTGTACTTAAATTTGTACCTAAGTACCTTTTTAAAAGTACTTTAACAGCTCTGTATATAGGTATACATAGGTAAGTGTGTATCTTTGACGCCCCCATTGATACAATTTAAACATTTGGGAGGCCAGCTGCTTCCACTTTGCCTGTCAGTGCAAACACCAGCTGATTGGGGTATAATGACAACCCAAAACATACAGATGGAGATATTCAATGTTTAAAAAATTTCACAAAGTGGGAATCGAACTGGCATCTTCTGAGTGCATTGGCAATAAACTTAACCAATACACCATTTAATCTATACAGTATGCTCTGTGGGTGGGGGCTCTAGTGGCCTAGGGGATAAGGTGTTCACCTCTCATTCACTAAGTCCGGAGTTCGAATCCGTCAGGCGACGGAAATTTTTGTTCTCTAAAAATTGTGTCCTTCCACCTCCTTTCCTGCTCTCTAACAATGTTCTGTCATCTGCTTTCGCTTCCACTTTCTGCCCACATCCCCTCACCTCATTTGACCCCTCCGCTGGACTCCTGACTCTTTCTGCAGCCTTTCTACTGCTGCTCCTGGCTCCTTCTTACTGCTGTCTTTTAACCACACCCCTGATCTTATGGTAGGAAAAATCTACACCTAGCCTTCTCAGATAAGGGCAAAGATCTCAGAGGTCCCGAGTGCAAATTAGACTTTGCGCACATTAAAGATCCCTTGGTGGTTCAAAATCAAAAAGAGTAGGCTCCCACCGCCATCCGGACAAAATTCAAAATTTCCTACCAACTGCACATGTTTAATGTGTCCCGCGCGCTCATATGACCTTATGCAGTTGCGAGAGCCGTAAAACACTTACCAAAGAAAAAACAACAATCTGTGGGTGTTTAATTTATTACACAATGACAGAGGCATTAGTGTCATTACACAGTAACACAGACAAAAGTACCATTACAAAATAACGCAGACAGCTGGCTTGACGCTGCCTCTGAGTCTGAATTGCAGAAAGAGTATTCATCACCGCCACCCCCCCCCCCCCCCCCCCCCCCCCTTTCCTCTTGAAGACACATAAACAACAAGTCCAATTGCTTCGGATAAAACATAGTCTGACTGCAGTTGAAACAGGCATAACTAATCCAAGTCCGATTCACACTTACACCAGTAAGTCCTATGGCTTGAATAAACTATAAACTAATTTCTGCTGACACAGCTGTCACTATCAATGTTAGATTCAAAACTCTTAGCAATACTTACTGCAGTCTCAACTATGCGGCCATTCACCCAAACATCTAAAGTGTCCTTTTCTGAAATACAATACAAAGCAAAACATATAAGACCAATGTGGACAGAGTACTTTTCACAGGTTTATTTCCCCAGTTAATTAAACTCACTCTATGTGATAGCTAAATAGTTGATGTAACGCTGTGAATTATCTTAGCGAGTTTCAAGAGCTGTGATGGCTTTTTTTAAAATTACGTTTTTTGTTCTACCAAGGCTTCAGAGTTCCCAGATCGCTATACCTCTGATTCAGGCAAAGAGCTTAGAGATTGCAGGGACAACAGTAGGTCTTTTCTTGACAATTTGTCTGATAGAGAGCCTGAAAGTGACATAGACAGATTCATAAATGTTCCAGTTCCAGCTCGTCGTGTTTCTTCGTATGTTAGCCTACATCTAAGATAAGATAAGATAAGATAAGATACATCTTTATTGTCCAGATCCTGGCACATTGGTTTGGTGTTCCACCACGAGTACACACACACACACACACACACGCACACACACACACACACACACACACACACACACACACACAAACACACACACACACACACACACACACACACACGTACACACATGCACGCACATGCACACACAAGTAGGCTTACAATCACATACATAATATAAATGAGCAGCAATATAAACAATAATAATCGTAAGCTAGATACACACTCAATGATATTTTGATGCATGCTCTAAGGTCGTAAGTACACTAAACAAGATAGATGGTTAAGATGGAAGCATTTTGATAGATGATGGTAAAAATGACCTTCTGTATCTTTCTTTGTTACAGATCAGAAGCATGGGTCTTTTACTTCTGACTGATGTTTTTATTTGAGGGAACAAGGGATGCTTGTTGTCTAAAAAGATGGAATTAATTTTCTTAGTGCAAGCTGTTATGTACAATTCATCCAAGTAGGGGAATGAAGATGTTGAAATTTTACATGCTTTCCGTATTAGTCGATTTAATTTTTCTTTATCTTGTTGTCTTGTGTTCCCGGCCCATGCTGTTATACAAAAATTGATAATACTTTCTATGGTTGAATGGTAGAACATGGACATCAATGTTTTATCAACTTCAAAATACTTTAGCTTTCTAAGAAAAAATAGTCTTTTGTTCACTTTTTTATGCAGGAGAGAAGTGTGGACACGCCAGTTGAGTTTGTTGTCTATTGTAACACCCAAATACTTATAGTCTGACACTTGCTCGATGTTTTCACATTTCATTTTGAGTGGCTGCAGGGGCAGTTTCTTTATTCTAAAATCAAGGACAAGTTCTTTTGTTTTTTTCACATTTAAAAGCAGCTTATGATTTTCACACCATTCAGAAAAATTAAGTACAAAATTCCGGTAAGCGGTTTTGTTATGGTCAGCCTGAATTAGCCCAATTATAGTTGAATCATCTGCAAATTTTATCAACTTGATGTTACTGTTGTTTATTTGGCAATCGTTCGTGTATAGTGTGAATAAAACTGGTGACAAAACACATCCTTGAGGGGCCCCTGTATTTATATTATCTATATTATCTAGTGGTGATGTAGAACCCTCAACAGGTAATGTTGGTAGATCCAGGCCTACAGGTGATAGAAATTTAGGTGGGCGTGTCTACCCCCTCCAAACAGAATGGGAGGTTTATCATGACGTCTATATGTAGCAAAAAAGACTTTTCTATGGAGTACATTTATTTCTGAATATATCTTGAAAATTTCATGTAATTCTGTCTATGACTTTTGTTTCAATGAATTTTTTGTAAGGTACCCTAATTATTTTGTTCTCTTATAAATCGGTGCGGTACTCAAGGGTTTTTCACTATATGACCCTGTGGTACTGTAGGTGTTAACCGTTTCACAGCTACTCGGCGTGTGGAGTACGTCCATAAATCGGGCCCTCCTATGCACAGTAGACGTACATTGTACGCCCGGCAATATCGCCATTTTTGTTTCATTTCTTACTCAGCCGGTAATTGTAATTTAGTATCGAAAGTGGGCTCTCCTGAAATCTCTTTTCTTCTCGAGTAAGAGAAGCTTTAGTTTGCCCTAGTTAGACCAACAATGACCGAAATAACGCGAATTATAGCGTCACTCCCTCTTCGCAGTTCTAGCGCCTTATTCCAGCTCCGAGCTATGGCTGATCACTCACGATGTACGCTCTCAACGTATCAAGTTATTAATGAATGAATTTTTTCCTGATGAAGATAGCGGTTCATTCATTTTCCTTTAAAATGATAAAGACATTGTGATGCATTAACCACAGAGTAAATAGCACTTTAAAAGGATCACCCATTTGAAGTGCTATTCCTGGAAATTAGGTCAGCATAGGGCAGGGAAACATAGGTCATAGTGGCAGCCTGAAGGCAAGGGGCCTTATATATGAAGTAAGAGAAATGGTCACAGACGTAAAAATCAGTTGCACTGCAGGCAGAATAACCAGCAGTCAACTACCCCTGAGATCTAGCGAGGGAAAACAAAGAAGAATAAGAGTGTAGGGGGAAAAGAAAGAAGTAGAACCTACTATTGGCGTCCTCCAACCACCCTTTAGATCATCAAGGACTTACCCAGCACCACTCGTACGTCGTTCCCTCCCAGGTACAGGACCCAGCACTTCATGATCTTGCTCTGATTCTCCTGGAACTTCTTCAGGGGTTTCCCATTCACATCTAGCGTGTACTCGTAGGCAAACCCACTGACTGCGTCGATGCTGATGCAGCATTTCGCTTTGCTCACTTGAAAATACTCTTTGCCCACTAGTTTGAACATCCAGTCCTGTCTGTAGATTTCCTGAAGTATACAGGGGTAAAAATGTTGCTAAGAACAGTGTCAAAGTTTGGTAAAAAGCTGACTAAGTCAGAACTTTTCAAAAATAAAAAACAGACTCTGACCATGCAGCAGGTGAAGATGCTGGGTATTGGGCAGTACCACCACCCCCCCCCCCCCCTTCCAAACCCTTCACTAACACTTTTTTTCCGTTCCTTTAATTCATGCAATTGAAAGCAGACCTGTAAAAATTATTGTGGGCAGTATGGCATATAGACGTATCTCAAAGGCTACCAAAAATGACTTACGTCAGTATGCAATACTGCCCGCATTATGTTAGAAATGTTTAGTGAAGATCTCTGCAACGAACTTATAAAGGCTTCATTCTCCTCATCATTCGCAAATCCAGCATCACCATGAGGAGCAATACTAGAAAACAAAGAGTACATACTTTCTGACACAAAAATAAGACTTCTGTAATTCAGACCTTCAAAAATGTATTAAAAATGGTATTTACATACTGGTTGACAGTTATGTATGAGTATTTTTCCTGACAGTGAATGGTAAAACAGGCATTAAAGGTAGGAGGTTAGTCCAACTTCTTTTCGATAACTTGTATTATTTCCTTATGTTTTACTTTAGCCCACTGACTGCTACATATGGTCGTAACATGGACAACGATGTTTTTGCAGGATGAGAAAAGGCAGACATGGTATGACTGGCTGAGCGGTAGACAATGTCATCATGTCTTATCGCTCTACCGTCCTCGTATAAACTGTAACGCAAACGTCAAAAAGATCTATTTTCTCAGAAAAACATTGCAAGTGGTTGTAGGACTGTACTGGTGGGTTCTATACTTCTTTTCTTTCCCTCTGTTGTTTGTTTCTGTGAGTTTGTGTAAAAATGACCATGATTGTGCCAATGTGTTTCTCTTTACTTACACTGGGGAACAAGTTTGGATGCATCGCCGAAATATAATATCAGCAATTTAAATAGTGTCCAAAGTTTATTTCCTTACTTCCATTCTATTGCTTTGGAAACATCAGTACACATCAACATTCTGTTACCTTTCCAATGATGCATAAAACTGCCACAATAATGTTTACTTCACCATCTGTAAAAGCCATTTTATTTCCATACCAACAAAATGATTCATAAGATTACAAATTAATTACGCCCAACAAAAAAAACCATCTTCATTACTGTGACTGACCTTGCCATCTACCCGAATGATTCTCTTCCCTGAGGTGGTCCCATGCTCAAATTCCACTTTGTGAACACCGTCACTCAGTGCTATATCCCAGGTGGCTACAAGATCTGACATGATGTTCTATGTTGAAACACTGTTTCACTGAAAAAGAGATAAGATTTTTAAAAACGTTTTAATACAGCAGTCTATATCAGTCATAGACATCTGCAAAGGACACATGTTGTATTCTTTCAGGCACTATATTAATGCCTAGAGATGGGCTAGCTTTATCATAGTGTCGGAGCTATCGCTCCCTAGACCTAGATCTAGGCCTTCTGACTCATCACAGAATTGAGAAGTGAGTTGCATACATTAGACTCCAGGGTGATAGAATCAACATGTGCTCATAATATGTGCTATATATTGAAGGTCGACGCACAAGGCTTTGGCGGGACTACACTGACATTTGTCACTGTGACGTCATGCCAGCCAAGATACGTGACACTGGCCGAGCGTCACAAATAGTGTCTCGCTTGAGCAGCGAATAAAGAATCTTTCAGTGTACCGATCAGCTTCTGCCCGCCCACAGTCCAATACATAAAGAGATTCGTTTATTCGCTTATTGTTTGTGGACTCTAGAAAGGTGTGCTCGCTTATTCGCGAATAAAAATTTTTGCAGACATGACTCGACATTAATTTTTATACATTCACATACAACAGAAAAAAACATGTGATTATCATTAAGCCATGAAGGCATTAATTTTTTTAATGAAATGTGCATGCATAACTAAAGAGATAATTGCATCATCATATTGGTATAGAGATTACAACCCTAATAACCTCCTAATTCTTTCATTTTTTTTCTATTTCGTTGCCCCAAAAAACAAACAATTGCCAATTTCCAGTTCATCGCATTTACAAATCTATGATCTAGTTTTACAATCTCGTTCAACTGGTTCCATTTCCCCTTGTTATTCTTCAATATAAATTTTTCACAAAATACCCACAAGTTCCAACATGTACACAGGTACAACTTTTTTACTTATTGTTGACAGACTTTCAAAATGTAAAAAGAACTTTTCTTGTGGAATATTGATCTTTATATCTGTGTTGTTTATAGGACGAACTTTTTATAAAAATATGTTGCACTGCAGCTTCTAGTTTATGTGTGAGACATGAAAACAACAAATATATTGGGGCTTAGATACGGCCTACCTTCAAACAACTCAAATGTGGTTGGAACATTCGTATTGTATTGAAATTGAGAATACATTCCCTTTTCAATCATGGGTAAGATTGAACTTTGGTGGACCCAACACTGAATGAAGCCAGAATTTCTTTTGAACCTCACTGCGCAATGCCATACAATGGTCCACTCGTCTTGCATTTATGTGTGTTTTGCTAAAGGTAGCGCCAATTGCCACAGAGTGAAGCAGAGTCAAGACTGAAAACAACGCTTTATCTTTTTTAAATAGCTTTCTATTCATAATGTGTTACGACCACATGAACAAATTACAGATCTAACCGCATCTCATGAGTTAATAAGTCATAATGAGTAGTTACACACATTCCAGGGTTCAAAAGGAAATAGTACAGGTCAATTTCCAAATGTTTTGCACTCAAATTCTTCTTTTTACCTACTTATTTTTATCAGGTAAAATAATTTTGCATAAATTCAAACTCACTTGACAGATTTTGTACAGTAAAATGGAAGTCTTGTAACTTTGTCTCCAGGCTATCCTTTCGAGCTCCTCATTCTAAGTAGGTCAATTTGTTCTCTAATTTCATTGGACAAACATCTAGAGCTACCAACTTGGCGTTTTTGAATGAGACATAGGCTAGCTTACTCTTCAGTGCAGCACCAACACAGGCGATTCTAGAAGTAGGCCACAAACGCACACAAACTCAAGCAGACTGATGAAGCTGCGGGAATACGGGACCTGGTCATCACATGGATGATGCTCTGCACGCGTGTGCTGAGCCAGGGGCCGGACTGATACGGGACTGGACGGAAGGCGAGGTGCCGAAATATATATATATATTTATTATATATGAGCATTTGCCAAAAGGTGGGATACCTGGGTGTGACAAATGAGGTCCAAAATCAACTTTATGTAATAATTCTTTAATCACCCATATTAACATATTATATAGCCTAATGATTGCTCTTTCAGGCTCAGTAACTGCCAAAGCTGTATATGCAATGGTTTTGGTGTAATTCTGACTTGAATGACGGAAATAGCAAAAAGTTCGTTCATAACAATGATGACAC